TTTCATTGCATCTTGATGCAATTATCTACTGATGGGCATTTATACTATGCAACAACACAAGAGTGTTGCAATAAGCATCGTAGAGCAAGTAGTTTTTTGTGTCGATTTTCTTTTCTTTGTGTCCAAAAAATGGAATTGTTGGTCATATAATATTCCCATTTTCAGTTTTTAAGATAAATCCCGGTCATTTTGATAACGGTCAGACACCCCAGTTTATATTCCCACCACCAGAGCAGTAGGGTCCCCCTCTCTGTTCCTCCCCAGCACTTATTGTTAGGGCTCTTTTTAATACAATGGAATTGAATTTTTAACCCACAATGTTTGCTTTAAAAAATACCTTAGTTGTGAGAAATACTTTCTGAGAAACCCCTGAAGCCGGTACCTCCCAAAGAACACATTATTTGGATGCATTTTTAATATGAATCATGGGCGACCTAAAAGTACAAACTCCAAGTTCGGGAAAATAGAAGCTTTGGAGGGATCCTGGGTCGTGGACTGAAATCCTGAGCATTCAAATGACAAAGAGAAGTTTCCAGTGATGGAGGGAAGAGGGGAAAGGACAGAAAACATGCCCAGAAAGTGACCGGATGCCCCAGCAGGGCGACATCAGCCGGCCTCCGCGTCCCAGCAGAGAATCCCTGTCACACAGGTCAGAGGTGAGTCTCACTCTGCCTGTTGACCCGAAACCAAGGGCAACAGCTTGAACTTCCAAACCGCACGTAGCACCTGAGGGCTGACCTCAGGGCTGGCCACGAGTCCCAAGCTGTGCCATCTCCTTTCTCTTTCAGTTACCCGCAAACACGAAAGGGAGGGGACCCTACAGGGAATTCCACCTTGACTCCATGAGGGAACCCGGCCGTTGAGCAGAGCCACAGGCCGAGAGAAAGGGCTGGGGGTGACCTGGCCGGCCGGGAGGGAGCCGGGGCCAGGGCGCCAGCGGACCCCCACCGAGGGAGGCAGGGAAACGGTTAATAACTCAAGGTGACAAATGAAGCCAGCCCGCCAGGGCTCCAGTTTGGCTGATTGTGAAGTCAAAACAGAACTGTCGGAAACTGGGAAGGCGCAGTCACTTTTACTGTATTTTTCCACACATATTTTAATTTTTTTTTTTTTTTTTTTTAATTTGGAAATGTTCACGGCGAGCGGGAATGGCAGACTGGAGAACTCCTGGGGCCTGAGGGAAGAAGCCGTGTCTCCGCTTGGCCTGGCCTCTCCTGCTGCCCAGCGGGTCCCCCCAGGCTGAGGGGTCTCCACGCCCCCCCCGCCCCGTGCCCCTGGAAATAGCCTCGCCTGCTTGCGTTCTCGCTGCCCCTCGTGCCAGGGCGCAACCTCCTGCCAAGTCGCCAGCCATGTGCCCGCCACCAGCCACGCCAGCGCCGTGTGGCTGAGCCCGGCAGCTGTTTAACGGGGAGCAGCTGGGGGGATACACGCAGCCCCCCTGAAATGGACACTCGGGAGCTCTGAGGGGCAGCAGAGGAGGAGAGTGGAGGCTTCAGGTGTACCCTAGTTCCTAGGGTGGGAAGGACGCTGCCTTCGCGTTGCCCAACATTTGAACCACAAGCCCAGGAAACTTGGGCAAGGAAATGGTGGAGCCGGTGGCTGGCAGCGCCCTGTACCTCACTGGGAAAGTGGAGGGAAGCCCACACCTGGGCAGCCGCCCCGGGGGGCTCACCTGCCCCGAGATCTTCTAACCCTTCTGCTGCCCTTCTGAGCTTCCAGGCACGAGATTGCTGAGCGTTTGCTTTGATTCCAGGGAGCTTTCTCCTCGCGAGCTTGTAAATACTTGTCAACGCTACAGCCCAGCCATCTCTTCCTCACCGGTTGACCTTGCAGATTATTTGAACTTCTCATGGAGCTGACAGCTTGACTGTACCTTGAAGATAAACGTATTGCCACCCCCTTCACACACACACACACACACACACACACACCTGTGTTCTTTCTCTTCCAGCCACCACTGCTCTGGCTTCTTAGGGTCCCCCAAAGGACACCGGGTCTGACAGTCGGTCAAACAGCTCCATGAGGGAGGCATTTTCCTAGATTCGGCCCAGGCCGAGATGTTCCAGGCGGTTCCTTGGTGACGGCAGGGGCTGCTGCCGGGAGGGTCACCCACCCAGACCTCCCCCCAGATGCAGTCCCCTGACCTATCTCATGGAATAGTGCAGAAGCACAATCCTCCTATTGTTCTCCGCTAGGACGCAGGGAAGGGGAAACAGGCGCACACAGAACCTCCCTCGAAAAGATTAGTGCAATTATTAGCCAACAGTCATGGCTATCAGCCAACGTGCCCTCAAATCCTCGAGCACCCAGTCACCTCAGAGTCTCTTAAAGCCCCAAACACAGGACCGTGTGTTCTCCTGCATTTGCCATGTTGTTCTGGAAGGCTGCTGAGTGCCGGCCTCACCCACACGGCTAATAGTGAGGTTGAGGGGAGACGCGTGAAGAATGCGTATGTCTGAGTCCAGGGGTCCCCATGCCCCCCTAAGTCTGCAAAGGCAGGTGCCCGGAGCCTGCCCTCACTGGCAAGAGCCTCACCCCACATTGTGGGCATCGTTCTTAGCCGCTGTGTGTGACGGTGGCGGCGGCTGGTGTTCACCGTGGAGCTGGGGGCAGTGAGGTCCCTGTCTGTCCACCTCATAAGAATAACGGC